GCATACAGTCATCCCTCCAGCATCTTGGGAGATCTTGGGAGAGTTTGAGTGAGCCAATAAATTATCTTTGACAAACTTTCTTCTCTTCCATTGTTTTATTGGTAAAAGCCTATATGCCTAAATCCTTTGGTGTACAACCAGAAGCTAGGCAAGGATGGTTGATGCTATCTTATTTGCTTGGAATAAGTTGAAGGTGAAAGATGTTGCATGGCTAGGAAACATGAATAATGATACTGGCTAGAAGTACAATATTGATATTACAATTCTAGAAAATCTAAAAATATAGGATACGGAGATGGGACATGTCAATAGATACATATCTTTATGTATTTTGTAAATTTTTTTATTGATTATTTGTGGATATATAATTGGATAAAATAAATATTCATGCAAGTAAATCTATGTTGTATTGATATTCCTGACGGTCTTTGGCTTTTACTTTCTAGATGGTTCAAACCTTAAATTTGAGAGTAATGACATATTATAAAAGGGCATTGTTCAATGAGTAACATACTAAATTGATTAGTCATTTTGGGGCCAGAATATGTTTATTTCATGCAAAAAAAGCTACCATATTTCAAAAATTGAATTTTTAAACCATTTATTTCAATTAGTTACTTCATTGAATAAGTTCAAAATGAAAGTTTAGATCAAACTTACAAAGAAAAAAAGGCATACATAGAAGGAGATGTTTATTTCATGTAAAAAAAAAGCTACCATAGATCGAAAATAGAATATTTAAACCATTTATTTCAATTAGTTACTTCATTGAATAAGTTCAAAATGAAAGCTTAGATCAAACTTACAAAGAAGAAAAGGCATACATAGAAGGAGAAGAGAAAGAGAAAAGTAGTCTGCAACTGTAATATTCCATGATAATAATTAGTTACAAGACATTGTATACATAAACCCTACTACAAGAGGAGGACTAAATACCCCTAATGAGAAATAAATATAAATGTAAATACAATCTTAACACCCCCCTCAAGCTTGTGATGTGACAATAGGAAGAAGCATTTAGAGTTTGTTAAGAAGAAAACGAAAACAAAAACAAAAACGTAGTGTAGCGTGAGACTTCATGAAAAAGTCGGCCAATTGCATAGTAGAAGAAACAAAAAAGAAGGAAATAGTCGCAAGTAAAAGATGGTGATTCACAAAAATGACAATTAATCTCGATTTGTTTAGTCCACTCATGGAAAACAGAATTATGTTCAATCTATAAGCACTCTTGTTGTCACAAGACATAAAAATAGGAGTAGAAAAAGCTCCTAGATCAGCAAGTAACCATCTTAACCAAGCTCAATCGTCCTAGTAGTCATACCACAATATTTAGCCTCAAAAGTGGAACGACTGGCAACAGTTTGTTTGTTGTTCCTCCAAAAAATAAGGAAAATCATCCAAAAAGACATATAAACCAGTTGTGGAGTTACGATCCATGACATCACCTGCCCAGCTGTCATCAGAAAAGACACGAAACTCCAAAGAAGAAGTGGAAGAGAACAAGAAACTTTGATATAAAATGCTTTAAAGATAATACAAAATATGGAGAACTGTAACCTAGTGAATTGTAGTTGGAGAAGAGACAAATTGATTAATAACATGAACAACATAAGCAATATCAGGTTGTGTAAGAGTGAGATAGACCAAACTACCAACAAGAACCCGATACAAGTAGGATAAGCTAAAGGAACACCATCAGCAGAAGCATAATACGCATTAAGCTAAGCTAGAGTGGAGTCTCAATAGTCCGAGAATCTATTAATCAAGCCTTATGGATAACATTAACTGCATACTTTGATTGAGAAAAAAGATAGCCCTTAGGTGATGAAGCCACTTCAAAGATAATTCATTGGGATTGCCCTCTACGGGCACTCATGCCGTACACATGGACCAATGAGAGGATTCTACTCCAAAAAGGCTGTTAGACTTGTCGGCGAGGACATTATCATGGTTGATCCACATTAGCACCCCTTTAGCTTGTGTCCAGTGATTCCTCAAACATAGTCGAGTGGGAAGATCCTTCACGTGAAGTGATTATTTGTCTCCTATGAGAGAGGATGAGGGTGGTCGAAAGTTTGGGTTTGCCAAAAACCCATTGGGGCGATAGGTCTTCTGGGGAAGAAGGGACCACTCACCTTAGAAGAAGGAGATAGAGAGCAATAATAAGTGGGGTCCAAGGTATTGGGTTCGAAATGATATCAGGACACGATCCACCAAATCCACGATTATCACCCAAATCGGCCATGAATTAGAGACCGGCCAGAATTGGTGCAACTTTGATCCAACTTGGTTGACTTGGACTAACTTGTTACTAAGTCGTAAGAGTTGCAATCGAATAATCGACCCACATGAGAAACTAGCAAGCAAAAGGCCAAAAAAAAAGAAGAGAAAGAAACAATTGAACGTAGATATGAAACAATTGTTTTTATCTTTTTGCAGTGCACTTATTGTTCATTGTCACTATGTTTTAGTGTGTTAGGTGATGTATTTTGGACATATGATACACAAATGTTGTTCTTTATATATTTTAGAATTAATTCTATTAATATTTTTGGAAATTTTTTGGGCCTTCCGTCTAGCATTTTTGAGTGTATTGACCAATATCATTCTGTGACGCTGTGATTGATGTGCCATAGTACCCATTGAGTTGATGACTGATATCGTGACCTTGAATTATGGTAATAAGCTCATTTATATTTTTGTGACAGCAGAGTCAGGGGACATTATAGACCAAAAACCTCATGGGGGTTAAGTGGTTTTTGAAACGAGGGGGAGTTATGTGCATTAAAGGCAAACCACAAAAGGTAAAACGAAGTTTGCCCTTTTCTGTTGCTTGTGATTGTAGCGCACAAAATGAATATTTTAATGGACATTTTTCGTCAATCGGACTTGGATTCTTTTGAAAAGTTGTGGTAATGGTTTTATTGGATGTGAAAGGAAAATTGAGTTTTACTTGCATTTTGTTGATTTTTGATGGTGGTGATTCAATGTCGTCAGTGTGTGCCCATGTTGGAGGGGAATTTTGGAGGGTCTCTCGTTTGTTGACACTGGGGGTTGAAAAAGGAGATAAATAGAGGGATTTGGTGTCTTTTTGAAAAATCATGAGGGCATTTTTGTCTTTTACGTTGAGGGTTGACTTCGATTTAAATTTCTCACAAGCCAACTTGCAAATTAGACACGTGTCACAATTTCCGTCATTTTTGACAGTTGCACTTTACTCCAAAACCCCATGGGGTTTATATTTGAGCTATAAGAGGGTAATGTGCTAAATGTCCAAACTACAAGGGGATTAAAAGAGCCCGAGTCTCTAGTGTAATTTGAATATCAAGTACTCAGTTTGTCATCAACTTGATTTTTTGAGGTTGCTATATTGACATTTCGTATCCATGTTGGTGTCCTCTTTTGCAATTAAAGCTGAGCAGCACCAGAAAGGAAGAGTGTCATGGTCTACATGAGGGTGTTTATATGGGAAAGGAAGGGAAAAGTGCCGTGGTCCACATGAGGGTGTTTATATGGGAAGGGAAGGGAAAAGTGTTGTGGTCCACATGAGGGTGTTTATAGGGAAGGGGAGGACCAAAATTGATGTGGTGTAAGATAGTAGAATAACATAGTAAAGAATGGTCAGCTGAAAGCAAGAAATTGAATGGAGCAGAATTACAAAGCAAAGCTCAGGAAGACGATCTAAAGGGTTGGCTAAGGTTTGTTGAGAATATTCGAGGTATATCTCCTCTTGACTATAGTAAATATAATCATGTCTAGATTGTAATAATATTATCGTGGATTGGGATGTTTGGGATTTTGCAATTTGTGATTTAAAATGATGACAAGGCTGCAAGAGGTTGAGTTTAAATACTTGTTTAAAGCTTTGTTGAGTTACATTGAGTTGGTAGCATTACACCAAATAATTGCACGATTTATTTGGTAATGGAATTTATCTATCTATCTATATATATATAAAACAAACAAATTAAAGGGGAGAAGGTTTAGAAGGCCTTCCCTCCTCATTTCCTAAATTCTTAAAGTTTTATTTTTTAATTATCATACTAAGGCTCCCTTCAATCACATTCTACCATGTGTCTTTTGTAACTACTCCTCAAACTCCTAATTAACTAACCACTATTTTTTCAAATCTATTCACATAAATTTTTTTTTAACATTGAATAATTTATTATTATTCCTTTATCTTGATCAAGGTGAAAGAAGAAAATAATGGATGAAATCATATTAAAAAAAATGACAAAATACATTTCCCGTGCTATGCATGGGGCTGTGGCACTAGTTTTATTAATAAAAAGAAGCATTACTAGAGGGACGATTAGTCCTTCAAGAAGACAAAAATACAAACGACATCTTGCATACGGATTTCTAGTCCACCCTAATGAAGAACAATTGAATTCTTGTAAAGTTGGAGGACACCGAAACCGAAAAAAGAGCCAAAAGCATATTCTTTTCCCAAAACCAATCTCATCTCTAAACTTATCTTCAAAACTCGTGCATTTCTTTCAAGCCATAAGACCCAAAAATTTCCCGTTCCGCACATCTCCAAGGGGTACAAGATTTTCTTACCTTGAAGATTGTGTCACCCAACATAACTCCTCTAATGAAAATAATTTTCTCTACGAGGATAAAACACCCAGAGAATGAAGAAAAAGATGATCAATATTCTTCTTCATCTCATATATAAACTCCCCAATGATTGTGTTATCCTTCTGTGACCATCTTGGTTTTTAGCTTAGTAAGGAAGTGGTTTATCATTTTCTAGAAGGTTTTGTAGCTTGTATCTCTGATGGTTTGTAGCTGACTAAAATTTCAAATTTTCAAAACCTGATAATCTGATATTTAGTTTTTATTTTGCAGATCAAATTCCTTATGTTGAGTCTGGTACTTACGTTGCATATGATAATGAGAAGGGTGGAGTTATTGAGAGTTTAAAAGAAGGTGGCATTCTCGATTTGGACTATGAAGTCCATGCTATCCCCGAATGGATATCATCTAAGGCGATGATAGATTCGTGGCTTGCAGATGCTGTCATGTATGAACTCTGGGTGGGCTCTGATGAGAGTCCTGCACAGAAGATTTATTATTCTGATCTCCCATGGCCAATTGGAAAATTTTTGTATTTCAAGCAAATTCGTTTTGCAAAACAACTACTTGGGATAACAAAAGACAATGCTGAGAGAAGAGAAGCAGAGGTACATCTCCCATATATATGTTCTGCATTGTCAACCTTCTTGTTTCTTTACTATTTCTCTCGCTCACAAAATAGTGGAAGGGGTGATAATGTTCTTTGTCTTCCTTTCATTTCTTTTGGTTCGCTCCTGCACATGCACATTACATATATCTTGTGTAAACTTGTCATTAGTTTCTATTGGACAGATTTATAAGAGAGCAACAATTGCTTATGGAGCTATGTCAACTAGGTTAGGGGAAGACTCCTTCTTCTTTGAAAACAGGTAACTTCTTGAGATATGTTACTGGTTTTTTTTGGCGCCTTTGGGCCATAAAGTCGATGACTCTACCAATTTTGGAAGCCTTTAGCACTTGTCATAATTGTTATAAAAATCAAATGATTCGCGATTTGATTCATAAGATTCGATTCGATTTAGTCCTCATTTGATTCGTATCTTACTATGGAATCGTTTTTACAGAGAGTAGAAAGAATCGTACGTTTCATTTTATTATTTTTTTTAACCCCATTCTAGGAAAATGACATCGTTTTGACTTTTCGATAGTCAAAACGACGTCATTTTGACTTTTAGATAGTCAAAACGACGTCATTTTGCTAGAAGAGGCACCCCTACTCGCTTCTCTGTCTGTATCTCCTATTCGTGTCTCTGCCACTCAGACAATTGTTCAAACGTCCATAAACATCATACAGAGACGTCTCCTTCACATTTCTCCTTCACTCCAGGTATTTTTTTTTTCTTCGAAAACAACTACTAACCCCTAACATACCCTACTACTACTTCTTCTTCTTCAATAAATGTTCTGTTTTTTATTTTTCATCAAAAAATTATTTTTCAGTCGAATGTGGGAAGTAATTTTCTAAGTTTACATGTTCCAATGAGTATGAGCTTTTCTTATTTTAGTTTAACTTCATTGGTAGGATTGATAATATCTATTTGTTGGCTAAAATCATGCAATCTTTCATCGTGACCATTTTAAGAAAACGATTTATTATGCATTTAGAAAAAAATAACAGAGCTACAAACTCGAGTGCAACTTTATAGAGATTTATAAAGCCTAGCATCTTTCCATTTAGATAATGTGATCATGTCAATACTTGTCAATTGATTATTTTTAAAATACAATAATGTTCAATATTTGATATCTTGCCTATTTTAAATATGTACATGTTATTTTTTATCATTATTTCGAATTTTGTGTCGAATTTTACGATTCCTAATTCAATACGATTCCCAATTTTCAAATCTAGTTTTTTGATTCCCGATACGAATCTCGATTTGATAACTAATGACGGATATTGATTCACTCTTAATGTACCCACCTTTGTTGTTAACTTATGCAGGCCAACAAGTTTGGATGCAGAGTTCCTTGGGCATGCCCTTTTTACACTTCAAGCTTTACCTGTGAGTAATTCTATAGAATGTGTAATAGTTGTGATCTTTGCTAAAACTGATTTTGGTTCATTTAAGGGATATTGTGCTGTTGTTTGTATAAAGTCTCAGAGAGAGACTGTTAAGATGATCCTTATAGTGCTATAATATTTGATGACACGTAATCACTTAGGATGCTTATCACTACACTACCCAAAAAGCAAATAAAAAGGAGCTAGAATGGATAGATCATGGATGACAAGCAATAGTTTGACTCCCAAAGTACCTAGTTGTTTAACAATAAATAGACACGTTGATGCTAGGCATCAAATTGCATAATGTTTTGGCACCTAAAGCTTGTAGCAGCAGCGTAATTCCGTATTAACTTCCATCATAATTTGAATACGGCTTGACTTGAAGTTGAGATTTTGAAATTGATATGTGGAATTTCGACTCGAAATGATGTTGAATCTTAAAATGCTAGGAACCTTGATGGACGACAAATATCAATAACTTTAGTGTCACTCTATGTTAGATAGGTAGGCAGTCAGTGATACTTGCTGAATGATAAGTGATAGTTAATGATATTACGAGTGTCTTTTGTCATCCTTTATTCTAGGTGTTAGTTTCCAAACTTCAACTGCTAAATTCTCTGGCTAGATTTTAGTATGTGTTTGACTTGTGTGAATTATTGTGTCAACCATATATTCCTGCGACATTGCATGTTGCCTTTGGACTTGGCTTTTCTTGGGAGGGTGTGTGTGTGTGTGTGCATATTTTGGTCTATCTCCTAGATCTTAAGGTAGGAAGCACGAATACTTCACGGAGAGTGCCGTAGTAGTGTCGGACACGTGTTTGACATAGACATGCGAACGTGTTCAACATAGACACACGTGGAATACGGCCGGACACGTGTCTGACACGGTTAGAAGTGTCTTCAATAGTGAACTAAGTTGGACACGGCTTAAACATGAACATGATTTTTTTTTTAAAAACAACTATTAATTATTTAAAGGGGCGCTATTTTTATTTTATTAATATATATTTTTTAATGTAATTTATATGCTATGAATGTTAATGGATGAAATGATATTTGATCAAAATGATGGATATTTATTTGATTTATTTCTATTTTAATCAAAAAATTAATATTTGTTAGGTCTTATTATTTATATTTTTATTATATATTTTTTATTTTTAATATATTATAACTCTATCTAAATATTATTATATTATTTTAATAGCCGTATCTTTGCCATACTTTTATCCTATATTACGAATTTTGTCGTATCTCCATGTCTATATCCGTGCTTCTTCGATCCTAAGATATGGACTCGTGAAACTTGTGTAAAAGGTGGGCAGAATTTTGTACGTCTTATTGTCATATTGTATTAATTAAATAGGCTCCATTGCTTAGTGAAATGTTATTGGAAATGCTGCTCAACTTCTAAATTTTATTTCAATCCTCTTTCTGATACTGTTGTGATCCATTTGTGAGAATCCTTTAGTCCAAGGTTGAGCCTTTTTTTTAAAATTTCTGAGCTTTGATTCAATTGGGTTTAGGTAGCTGACAACCCCTAATTTCTAAGAGCTAGCATACCTATTAATAAGAAGTAAGAGCACTAATTGGAGTCATCTTTGAGAGTTGGTTGGATGTTGGCATGTCTTACAATTACTCATATTC